ATTTTCAGAATTTTCTAGAGTTATATAAGCTGTTTTGGAATGAGGTCAGAGCCAAAATTTCAATAACTTAATTACCTACAATATTGATGAAGGAAATAAATTCAAATACCCTGTATAATAAATGCATTTTTTCAGTTTACAGTGGTTGTTTCCAACATGGCTTAACTACAATAACACTCTGAACATGCTTTGGTAATTTGACTATAACTCATGCTACGCATAAGCTATTGACATGAAACAAATTTTCAAATTTCGGGAATATAATTTCCTACAACTTTTATGAAGTAATCAAGTCCTAATTTCACAGGTATAAATCCCAGCAATTCAAAAACCGAGGCTATTGAAACAGGGCAACCTCTTAACTTCATAGCTATAACACTTGACAGTAAAAGGGACATAACTTGAGCTACAAATATCCGTTTGATGTGAAACAAGTTTCTAAATTTCGATAACTTAAAGGGATACAACTTTTATGAAGACACCAATTCCTAATTCTGTTCACACAAGTCCCAGAATTCAATGAATAGTGACCTACGAATTAGGGTTCTTAAGGTTTTTAGCTTAATCACTTCTAATCCTCAATTCTAAGTATTATTCTAGTGTCCTAGGTGTAAAATCTACAATAACACTCTTTCTACTCCCATTCAAACTTAGCCAAGTGAGGAAAAAATTGAAAATGCACCATTTTGAAAAAAAAAATCGTAGAAATGTAGAAGAGATTGAGAGAAACAAACTTAGCTCTTGGAGCTTCTCAAGAAAATTAATATTTCCCCCTCAAAATTAAGCTTCAAAGTGAGGAGGGTTTGAGAGAAAGAGAGAAATGAGAGAAAGGGATGACCTACGAGAATTGCAGAGATAATGTCTTTTTAAAAATCAAAATCTAATTTTTTAGATATATTATTATTATTTTTCTTTTTTTTAATTCCAGAAAATTTCTAGAAAATCACAAATAATCTAACAAACATAAAACTTTATTGTCACTTCCCCCAATTCCGAATAATTTAATTATTAAAATTTTGACAAAAAATTTGTTAAAATTTAACAAATCGAGGGATACTTAGGATGTTACACAGGTCATTTTAATTTAAGATCAAAGCAGTGTCTTATAAGTGAGAAAGAGAAAAAAGAAATGCAAAAAATCTCATATTCATTTGTAGTTGGCAGTTTAATGTATGTTATGATGTGTACAAGGTCAGACATTTCTCATGTTGTTGGTGTTGTTAGTCGTTTCCTTGCTAATCCAGGCAAAGAGCACTGGCTAGATGTGAAGTGGATACTTAAATAGCTCAAAGGTACTTTTGGAGAGTGTTTATGTTTTGGAAATGGTAAACCTATGTTAAATGGTTACATAGATGTAAACATGGGGGGTGATGTAGATTCTAGGAAGTCTACTTCTGGATATATAATGATTTTTGTAGGGGGAGCAGTGTCATGACAGTTCAAATTACAAAAATATGTTGTTCTATCTTTTACAAAGGCTATTGTTGTTACAGAAGTTGCAAAAGAACTCTTGTGGATGCAAACATTCCTACAGGAGTTAGGACTTTCACAAAAAATAATATGTTTTGTATTGTAATAGTCAAAAGTACAATCCATCTCAGCAAGAACTCGACCTTTCATTCAAGGTCAAAATATATTGAGGTCAAATATCATTGGATATGTGATACATTGGAGATGAAACAATTATCATTGGAGAAGATTCATACTAATGAGAATGACTTATATATGATGACAAAATTCTTACCTACTAGAAAATTTGCTATGTAGAAAGTAGGTCCCAATTAATTGGTGAGGGAGAGATTAACACATTATAGGATTATCTTTATTTGCATATGAGTACTTTAGAGCATAGTGAGAACAGAAGATAGAGAACAGAAAAAGAAGGTTTATAGTGAGATAGAAAAAGAAGCCACTACAAGAATAGAAAAAGAGCATATTATTCAAAGTACCTCTATGTAGAGAAGTTAGCTCGAAAATGAGGTTTTATTGTTCACATTATCTGTTATTTACCTTATTGCTGAAAAGAAAGTATTTTGTTAATCTTTGGTGACTCCAAGAAAACTTGTGTGTATAATTAACTATTATTAATGGAAGTTTTGTTTGGACTAGGTCCCGTGGATTTTTCCTTCACATTGACGATTTTTTCACGTTAAAATTTGGTGTCTTCTTATTTCTTGATTTTTTTTTGCGCACACTATGATGTTACTTGATATTTCCTTCACATTGATAATTTTCTCACGTTCAAATTTGGTGTCTTCTTATTAATATTTTATTTTTTGTGCACATTATCATGTTAATTAATATTTTGTAGGGAGAAAAGAGAGATTTTTAGGTTTTGCTTTCGCTTGAAATAATTTTAGTATCTTCTCCGACCTAATATTATATGGTATTTCTTAATAAATTATTATTTTTAATATTTTATTAATTTTATCTACTAGATTTCAATAAAAATGCAAAAATAGTTTTACCATAATACAACATACTATTTGTTTTCTAGCTTGTGAGTAAAATAAATATTTGCTAAGGTGAAGTATTGTACACTAGTTAAGATGGAAAAGATTTTTTGACATTCAATTTTTTCAAACATCTCATGACAATCTTAAAATATTATTTTGTTAATTGATGGAATGAGAATTAAGTAAAAAAATATTATTTTGTTAATTGATGGAATGAGAATTAAGTAAAATAGATAAATAATAATATAAAAATATAAAAGTGAGTTATTTGATCAATGTTTAGGAAAAGTGGATTGACACTATATCATAACCCAAGTAAAATTAGTGTAAGATTCATGAATGAATGACAAGTTCAATTAGTGAAATCTTGTAAATTTTGTTAGCAATAGTATAGGTTGAATTGTTTTTCACACATTCAGTTAGTAAATGTAGCAAACGGTTAATTATTGGCCTCAATCTTAAATATTAGTTTGCATGATAATACGGTCAAATGGATCTAGATAATAATTTTTAACCTCATTATTAGTGATAGGTTTTTTTTAACCTTAAATTTGTTATTGCATCTATCTCGTGAATAAAAATAATAGATGGTATAATTTCGTAAGATTATTTATAATATGAAAAAAAAAACATTAAATGTGTGTAGAAGATTAACTTTCTAAGTTGAAATATAATGTTTAAGAACCTATGAACAAATCAATAACTAATTTTATATTTAAAGAGAATAGGAGTATCTTTAGCTTTAGTATGAACTAATTTTATCATATAATATCCATATCGTGCACACAGTAGTACTAATTATGAACCTCAATCATAATAATGTATGGAATGGGAGCAAAACACCCTAATGTATTTATTATTTACGTGAACTAGACTATAATTTTAAATTTATGATTTTCTTAAATTTTAATATTTATTATTATGTTTTCTAAATTCATAAAGAATCTCAAACAATGTTAATTATAGATTATAACATGCATTAATGATTTTGAAAGATGGGATGAAAGCTAGACGAAACTATAAAATATAAATATATAAATTTTAAAACAATAAATTACTTTCGTATCCAAAATAATTATTAAAATTGATAATTATTTTTTAAAATAATTTATTTATCAATAATATTTATTTTTTAACCTAACATTTTCATCTATTTAACATGATATTTTTAGTTGTGATATATAAAAAAATAAAATAAAATAATAAAAATAAATATCATAATATTATCTTAAAATAATATATAAAATTAACTTTTCAACTTCATTATATTCATTTATTTTATATTATAAATATTTAAATTAAATTTATAATGACTAATTATAATAAATAAATTTAAATTTAATTATTCTTTAAATTATATTTATTCATTATAACCTTCGTATATTTTATATTATAAATATTTGAATTAAATTTATAATAATTAATTATGATAAATAATCTTAAATTTAATTATTTTTTAAATTATATTTATTCATTTCAATTCTTAAAATACAACTTTCATATATTTTATATTATAAATATTTGAATTTAATTTATATTGAGTAATCATGATAAATAAATTTAAATTTAATTATTCTTTAAATTATATTTATTCATTTCAATTCTTAAAATACAACTTTCATATGTAAAATCACTAAATCTTTATAAATAAATATTATCGTTTATTTTAAAATAATTAAATAAGATAAATATAAATTAATAAATGAAAATCAATACATAAATAAATATATATAAATTAATATCAAACTAAAAATAAATAAATAAATCAATGACTCGTGCATAACACATGAAATAAAACCAGCAAGAAACTGCACATAAATAAAATTAAACCAATACAAAGCCAAAGATAAATAAATAAATGAATATTAAACTGATCAATATAAAATTAAAAATAAATAAAATAAAACTAATAATTAAATATAAATAATTAAAAATTAATATATATCTAAAAATAAATAAATAAATATAAAATAAAATAAAACAATGATAAATACCAAATTTCTTAGATGCCTAAAATTTTTTCAAAACTATTTTTCTTTCCCCCTCCTTCTCTCCCATGTCTCCCACTTTCTCTCTCTTTTCCTTTCTTTCTCTTACTCTCTCCCTCCCTTTCTCTCTCCTCTCTCCTTAATTTTTTTTTTCCATCTATGTTAACCCCTCCCCTCCTATTTATACAGCTAAATAACTTTTAAGTGTAAAATGAAATCTAACAGCACTCACCCTTATTTAACACGTGAGTATGTTGGAATTGTGACGCATACCCTTATTTAACATGTGAGTTTGTTGGAATTGTAATGTTGATCAGTACAACATGAATTCATAAGTGAAAATTTGAACTACGGCATAAGAGTGTCACCCATCAACAATATCACAATCTTGATAACGACTTTGGAACTTAGTACATAGTAGCACATGCAACACTGGTAATGTCACTTCAAGTACACCACATGTTGCAACTTATTAGTTGTCTGAACCATTTCTGAAAGATAGCACAACCACAATTGTTATTACTCTCATGCCTCACTGTGAATCCTTTCCCACATTTTAGCCTGGAGGCCAGTTCATCTGTCTTCCTCCAAGGAGGTGCACATGAATGTGGTAAACTGATTGGCCTGTCAAAAGTAAAATCATAGCTCAATGTACTACACAAGAATCACCAAGAATCAACAACCCAAATATAAGATGATATATCAAAGCTCAGGAGTTGGCATGGAGAACATCACTTACATCCCTTCGGCCCGTCATTAATTACAATCCTGAAGCCCTCGTCCAAACCTTCTTGCTTGGCAACCAACTTGGCTGTGTAAAGAAGGCGCCCAAGAATATCAAAGTGCCTTTCCTCAGCCTGCAGAAAAATCAACAAGAATACATGAACAACATAAGTAGTACAAGAATATCAAAGTGCCAGTAATAAGTACCTTGGATAGACCACTTAACCCATCTTTGACTTTAGGAATGATAAGAATATGTGTAGGAGCTTGGGGAGTTATGTCCCTGAAGGCAAGCACCTGTCAAAAGGGGGGGAAATAATAGGATCATTAATAGTTATTGCAAAATCTGGGCATGCTTTCTTAACAATAAGGACAGAAATGGCCAAAGGAGAAGGAGAGGAAACAAACAAACATTTCACTGGTGTCCACACAATGACTGTCAGAAAACAATATTCTGATCATGCAATTGAATCTTTTTGAGGGAGAAGAAATTAAGGAGGGGATAGTGAAGAGAGGAAAAAAATCAAACAGAACCTATGGCTAACGAATAAAAAATGTTTAAAAACAATGTTATTCTGAACGAGAAAAAAAATCTGAGAAGATCCTTGAATTTTCCAACACTTTAGCCATAAATTTAATGGTCAATAGTTACTAATGCAGAAATTTGAATTAAATTGGCTCCGGGGCAACCATGAAAACAATAAAACTGCAGAATAAAAAACAATTTGGTATGAGTTACTGTAAAGGAATTGAAGTATCCATAAAGACATTATTAGTTAGCAAAGTACTCCAATAAATTTAACCGTGTAATCCATAAACTTCTTTTACATTTGAGCTAGAAGCCTAGAACCCTGATTTAATGAAACCCAGTAGGAATACTTGCTTTCTGTGAAATCTTTCAGTAGAGCTTACATGCGAGGAGTTCCACATTGAGTAGAATTAACTGCTTGATGTGGTAATTAACATCTTCTATCTAATGGAAGAGTCTCGTGGGTTGGGTTCTCCTAGTGTACTTAAGTCCTAAATATTGTGCTTTCATTGAGAGTCGGACTAGAAAAAGAGCTACATATAAGGCTGGATTTAGGCGTAAACAAAATATACTGAAAGATGAGTGAAGCTATCAAAGATAAAAGGGTACCCAGCTATCAAAGATAAAGCCGAGTTAGTATCAATAAAGTGAAAGTCGACATGGACATCAGCCCTTAAAGAGGGTGGATATGTTAAAAGTTTTGCATTAAGTAGAATAAACTACTTGATATGGGTACTTAAGCCTTGAGGCTCTCCTACCTAATGGACTATCTTTTGGATTGACCTCTCCTCTTGAACTTAAAAGAAATTGGAACATAATCTACATTGGAACCAGTTTATGTGTTCACAGATCAATATATCTAGGCACTAGACAGAAAAAAACAAACAAACTGAGAGCCAAGACTTCCATTAAAACTGAAAAAAATCAAAAGACAAAAAATTTAATTTTCAAAATATGTAGATAATTCTGTTTCAACCATGAACAGCAGATTTCTCAATTTCTCCATCATTCTCTCACCAAGGAAACGTCAACACAGAACTCACCACTCATAAATTCTAGCATAGAACAAAACTCATTAGGCATCATTACATCACCTTATCATCCTCATAAACCACAGTAGAAGGAATCTCCTTATTGATGATCTTGTCAAATCTGCGCATCAAATAATACAACATTAATGATAGGTATTCATAGAAGTCTCACAAAACTGTGATGCCTTCTCAGATCCTTTTCTAACTTCCAGTACAAAGAGGTAGCATCCTCTGGTTCTTGCAAATAAACATACATCTTCACCATAACCATACAAAAATATTGATCAAATTTCATCAAAGGCAAACCAGTAAAACTAAGGAAACAACCAATTTCAAATGGAAATGGGCTATCCCATCAATCAAGCATACATCTTCAAATCAAAGCAGCACCAGTAAGGATACACCTCACCCACCTCTTTACAAAATAAATGGCTATTGTAGAGCAAAAGAAAATGATAATTTGAATACCCATTAACATAGACAGCATTAGAATGCAATTATAATTGAAGTCAAAAGCATAAACTATAATTGAGATGTTATGTCAGGGACATATACTCCTAAAATTTATGGTTGCATTGTATTGAATGATTTATTTCTTAACATGAAACAATAAATTGGAATAACACAATCACACAAAATTATTTAAATTGCAGCAATCGTCAAATGTGCGTCAAATATCAAGCATTTTCAGTATCCAAAAGCGCGCGCACGCACACCCTCACACAAAGAGTGCTGTAATACAGTGCCAAAAAACTGATCAAATTCGTCAAATGCAAAAACCAGTAAACCTAAGGAAACAACCAACTTCAAATGGAAATAGGTCTTCCCAAGAATCATAGATACACATCAACGCACAAAAATTCACCAATAAGCAAATGTGTTTCTAAGCAGCATTTTTCCAACTGTCATCTAAACAAAAATAGAAAGTGACAATTTGGGTACCCAATAACCCAGACAAAATAAAAATGCAACCTTTTTAGGGTTTTCGCAAACTAACAAGATAATCAATATATCAAACAGATAGATGGGTAGGAATTATGTGAAAAGGGTAAATTGAAACAGTGTTGAGAACAAAAACCAAGTAAGGAGAAAAGAGTGGAACAGTAAAGAAGGAAGATTTATAGCATACATGGTTGGAGCATCAGCATCGGAGGGTGTGGCAGCAAGAGCAGCTTCCTTTTCTGAAGCCATGGGGCTGGAACCAGTGAAGTGTGATGCCAAGACACAGATTCTGTCACTTATACTGTTGTTGTTGCCACTCATTCATGGAATAATGGTGCGCTTTGGGAAACCTCAAATCCAACGAGCGTTGGGCTGAATGCCAACGGGTTCTGTTTTGGTGCAAAAAGAAAATCCAAAATGCTCTAATTTTTAGTTCTTAGGATGAAAGGTTGTAAAATGTGCCCTTTGTTTTGTCTAATCCTGCTACCAATGATATTTCGCCATGTCGTAGATGCGTGCCGTAGTCTGTGTCAGTTTTGCTTTCGATAAATCACAGAATTTTGGTTAGAAAATTTGAATTTTGTTTGATTAAGAAAGTTTAAATTGTATTAATTATTTTTGTATTAATTATGTTTTTATTTTTTAATTATATTTATTATAGAAAGAAAAAATAACAAAATATTTAATAAAAATATTAAGAATAAAAAAATAATAAATTTATTGAAAATAATAAAAATTAATATTTATATTAATTTTTATAACCAAACCTTAAATATTATATATTTTAAAACAATAAAATATTATAAGATAAAAGTTTAAAAATTAATCTATTTAAAGTAAATTTTAAAAATAATTAAATGTTAAATAATATATATATATATATATATATATATATATATATATATATATATATATATATATATATATATATATATATATATATATATGTGTGTGTGTGTGTGTGTGTGTATGTGTGTGTATGTGTTGGTGGGAAAAATCGATATATGAATCGAAAAGTTAGAAGAAAATTCGATGATAATCTGTTGGAGAAAATCAAGAATCTGAATTGAAAATCGAAAGAAGAAATTCGAGGACCATGTGTTGGGGAAAATCGAGAATTTGAATCGAAAATCGAAAGAATAAATTTGATGACCATGTGTTGGGGAAATCGAGATATGAATCGAAAATGGATAGAAGAAATTCGATGACTTTATGCTGGGGAAAATCGAGATATGAATCGAAAAGTGGATAAATCAAAATATAGATTGGAAAGTAGATAAATTGATATATGAATCGAAAGAAGATAGAGGAAATTCGATGAACACGATTGAGAGTAAAAAATTGATAATAAGTATGGAGTGTGAAGTTAAGTTTGAGGGAAGTCAGAAGCAATTTAAAGTACTCGATGTTTGGAATCGTGATCGAGGGAAACAGTTATCATGCACATGGGAACATGGGTAGCGGTTTCTAAACCGTTCTTAGGTGGTCAGAAGCAGTTTTAAGTACTCGATGGCTGAGGTCGAGATCAAGAGAGCAGTTATCTCGCACATGGGAACATGGGGTAGCGGTTTCTAAACCGTTTTTAATGGTCAGAAGCAGTTTGAGGTGCTCGATGCCTGGGGTCGAAATCGAGGGGAGCAGTTATCTCGTGCATGGGAACATGGGGTGGCGGTTTCTAAACCGTTCTTAGGTGATTATGTTGAAGAAGCCTATAAATAGTATGAAGCGTGAAGAAGGAAGGGGAATTTTCAGAGGTATCAGAAATCTATTATACAAGTCTACTGGAAAACGACGAATCGTGGAGTTTCTAGCAATCTAGATTTCCATGTTTATCGACTTTTGTTACCGCTTTCTTTACTTTCCCTGGTAATTTATCTTTAATGCAATTTAAATTTATCTGTCTGGAAATCTTGTGCAATTTAAGATTCTACATTACTTTTCATCTCGATATCTTTTAACGTTTTCTTTACTTTCTTGGTAATTTATCTACTTGCAAGTTAAATTTACTTTTCTGTACTTTCTCGTTATTTTAATTACTTGGTCATTTACTCTTGTGCAATTTAACATTATGTATTACTTTTTTCCTCGACATCTTTTTACTGCTTTCTTTACTTTTGCTGATTTTCATGTTCTCAAGTCTGGTAATTAAAAAATACAAAAAAAAGAACTTTCGATTTCATTGATGTTTGTATGCTTTTTAATACGTTTTCTGTGTTTCGTTCTTAAATTTATCGCTTCATACATTTTTTATTGAAAAACTATTTGCTAGCCTAAATAAAAAGAACTTACGGTGATTGAAATTTGGTTAGAACTTAGTCATTAGGAAATCGAAACAAAACCAAAAATTTAACCAGAAACAAATTGGAGCACCAGGTAGGGGGCGGTGTGTTAAACACACAAAATTCGGCTAGTTCAAAAAGTGTATGCGATTAAGGAGTAGATGAATAGTAAGAATGAATCAAAATCCACCAAATAGTCAGAGTAACAGTGAGGTTCATAATAGTCCAAATCCACCAAACACTGGGGGGCAAGTTAATAATGGAACTATGTCTGTAATATCGACAAATGTAAGTGCATCGATTCCAGTGAATAATGAACAAAGCCCAGGGACATTAGCAAATACTCAATTAATAGGGTCTGGGACTATAATGTCAAATAATATGCAAACTGCGGGAAGCCCCATAACAACAGGTGCAGGTCCATATATGAGTCTGAGACCGCCTGGATTTACTTTTAACAATATGAATGGGGTTGGTACTTCAGTACAACGAAGTATGAGGCCTAACCTAGGAATTCCCCAAAACCTAGGAACATTTCAAACCTTAGGAATGCCTCAAAATTTTGGAGTATTCCCGAATTTAGGTATATCCCAAAATTTAACAACAAATGTCTCCATTCCAAACCAGGATAACAGAGCAAATCTGGATCATGGGAGATATGCATTCGATAGAGATTATCATCGATCTAATTTTGATGCTATCGAAAATGCTAGTACTGGAATTTTCAGTAATTCATTAGGGGTGTTTCGACAACAAATGGATGAAAGTAATTTTGAGATGGTCAATATGTTGTCACAACAATTGACTACAGTATTAAACCCATTAATTCAAAACACTAATAATAGTTTTTGAGATATTAGAAGATCAAATGACACGTATCGGGGATGCATTGACAATACCTCGACAAATAAGGGTTGAGAACAATGCTAATCAGGACAATAACCAAAACATCAATATTAATCCCCCTTATTTATTAAGGAGAAATCGAAATGCTGATCAATATCTGCATATGAGGAATGATGCTCACAAAAATTTAAATGGGGGGTTTCAAAATGTGTATAATCAGAATAACATGAAGTACAATCATGTGTTGGGTCAAAGAATGAATCTCCAAGGAGTGGAATTAAGACCACTTAACCAACCATGCTTTGTTTCTCCTTTTCCAAATACGATTCTCGAGACAGAATTACGTCGAGGATATAAAGTACCTAAGTTCACAAAATTTGCCGAAGAAATCGGTGAATCCACTATAGAGCATGTGACACGATATCAAATCGAATGTGGAGATATAGCTATGAATGAGGAATTAAAAATGAAATACTTTCCTAGTTCATTAACAAAGAATGCCTTCACTTGGTTTACCACTTTGCCACCTAACTCGATATATAATTGGCTGCAGTTGGAAAGGAATTTTCATGAGCAATTTTTTAGGGGAGAAACTCAAGTAAGTCTCATCGACTTAATGAATATAAAAAGATATAATCATGAGAGTATAGATGATTATTTGAATAGATTTAGACAAATGAAATCAAGATGTTTCACTTAGATTCTCGAATTTGAATTAGTTAGGATAGCTGCTGCTGGGTTAGAATTTTCGATTAGGAAAAAGTTGGTTAATTGACCTTTGAGTGACATGACTCAATTAGCCGATAAAGTAAGAAGAGTGGAACAAATCGAGTATGAGAAGGAAAGATATAAGAAATTTGAGAAACCTATAAAGAAATATAGGATAACATACATAAATGAAATATATGAAGAGAATCCTAAGACAGAGGTAGAAAATGAAGATTTTATTGATGAGAAAGTAAACATAGCAGAGCTCAAAGTGGGAGCTCCATATATTTGTAAATTGTTGCAGAAAAATGAGGTAAAAGACAAAATGGAAAATCGAACATATACTTTTGATGTAACAAAAGCAGATAAAATCTTCGATATTTTATTGAAAGATAAATAGATTAAATTGAGTGATGATCATAAATTACCTTCTTTAGATCAAAGAAATGGTAAAAAATATTGCAAATTTCATAATATTTATGGGCATTGGACTAATAATTGTATACATTTCAGGAATACAATTCAAGATGCAATCGACCAAGGAAGGTTAAAATTTGAGGAGATGTCGATGAAAGTGGATACTAGTCCATTTGAAGTTCAGGTGGGGTATGTTGAGTCTCAGTCAGACATTACTGAAGATGCCCGATTGGTAAATTTAGCCTTTATAGGTATGGTCGATGTTACTGAAGACGTTGATCCTAGACATGTCAAAATGGACATGTCAGAGGAAGACATAGAGTTTGATTTAAATGAGTTCGAGAAAGAATTTGAGAGAGAGATTTATCTTCAAACAGAGGATTCGCTCGTTGAATTTTTAGCCAGAAAGAAAGAGAAGGATGAAGACGTGGCATTATGTCCACGATGTAGTGCGGTGTTTGACATATCTGCTGTTAAATCCTTCAGAGAGGAGCAAATAAAAAAAGTGGAGACATAGAAGAAGAATTACAATTTTAAAGGAAAACAAACGGTCCAGATGACAGTAGGAGAAAATCAGCAATCTGTTGGTTCTTCTTCTAATAGAAATCAAATGTGATGGGTCAAGAAGGAGATATTTTCTCCTCGGGGAGGAAGAAGTAGACTTCAAAATAATAATGTGTTCGATAGACTTTTATACAATGGAGGATCAAATACTGGATTCCCCATGTTCCAAAGGAGAATATTTCGAGGAAAGCCCTGGAAGAAAGGGGGAAGGCTCCAACCTTACTGGGGAAGGTTCAACAATTATAAGAGCTTTGAAGAGCAGAATGTACCGACCGGGGGTCAGTATGTAAGAGATTTTGTCGACGGTAAGGATGAAAATAATAAGGATGGATAACAGATTGGAGTGATATCGATACTTCCTGCAGAGTATGTTAATCGGTATGAGGAATTTTAGGAACAAAATTATGTTTATCGAGAGGATGATTTCTTTTCTGAGGAAATAAGACCAAAAGTGACGTGGGTGACACAAGTGTCGTGTGAATCTCCCCATAGAGATGCTGATTTTAT